GGGGGGGGTTGGGGGGGGTCGAGACTCAGTAAGACCTACGTGGACGAGGAACATCCCCTTAAAATTTCAGCTTTCTAGCTTTTCTGGTTCCCGAATTAGCAGCTTCCCTGTCAAGAACTTTCACGGGTCTGCACGTGGATACCGCACGGAAAAGAGCGCCCATTTTGGGGATGGGGCCCCATATGTGCACGTAGATTAATATCCCAAAGTTTTAGCCCTGTAGCTTTTGTAGGTCTCGAGATGAAAAGTCGGTACTGACAAACACACAGATATAAACACAGAAAACCACTCGTCAATATGCGTTTTTCGCATTGCATATGTGCAAAAAAACCACACATAAAAAGGAATGCTGGTATTATTAGCCTCATTAACGGTGAGGGAAAATGCGAGAGTAGAGTGATAACTGATCAAAATATACAAAAATTCAACTCGCTGGATTAAAACTAGATAAAACAATGTCAAAGCTCACCAGTTCATCCGAATTATCATGCATGTTTTTCAAAAATTCAGCTTCTTCCTCGACGATATCACACGGGAATGCACCAATCAGTGTGCCGTCATCTAAAAATTCGGAAATTAACCCAAAATTTAATGAGACAGTGAATTATATGCAAAAAGAGCACAATTTCGGAAAATTTTCACAAATCTTTTACCTTTGTATACTGAGCCGGGAATTGCAAAGTCTAAAGTGCGTCCCAAGAAGAGAAAAAGATCGGAAACGTACGGCACTTCATCAAAACTAAATAAGCTAATAGCTCTGCCTACACGACCAGCTCGAGCAACTCGACCTGAAAAAAAGATAAGATTAGCTGGAAACCGAAGATAACAACACCGTTTGATTCATAAAATACCGATAACTTACCAACACGATGCACGAAAAGTTTCGGTTTTGGAGGAAAATGATAATTTATAACGACATCCAAAAGCGGGATATCAACACCTCTGGCAGCAATATCCGTTACAATCAGCAACGAACAATCCCCGTCGCGAAACCTGAAAACAATAATTGTTATTAGCAATAAAAATTGCCTAAAAAGTAAAACTCTATAAAGTTGTACTAAAGAGACCTACAAATGTCTCGCAGCAAGCAATTACGCATGCTTTGACTACTAAAAGACTTTAATAAGAGGTGCAGGATTGTAAAATTTGGCTGCAAACAACACGTGAGCAAACCAAACAGGCTTATTCAAAAACAGACTATACTTATGTGGGATACTTGAATCAGTAGTAATCTACAGCCTAATTCTTCAATTACACTAGCCAGGAGCTTCCTTATTATGCGTTTTTTGCAGGTATGCAATGCGGAAAACGAGAGGTTGTGTGTGTGTGTGTGTGTGTGTGTGAGTGCGTGTGTGTGCCTGTGTGTGCGCAGGGCCTCTGTACCGATTTTTCATCTCGAGACTACAAGAGCTACAGGGCTAAAACTTTGGGAACTTAATCTACATGCACGTACGGGCCACCATCCCCAAAATGAACGGTCTTCACCGCGTGGTGCCCGCGTGAGAGCCCGCCAAAGTTTTTTTACGGGTAAGCTGCTAACTCGGGAACCAGGAATGCTTGGGGGCTGAAATTTTAAGAGGATGTTTCCCATCCAAGTAGGCATTAATGTGCTCAAACCCAACCCCCGGGTAAGCGTGGTACCCACATACAGACCCGTGAAACTTTTTTCGAGTAAGCTGCTAACTCAGAAGCCAGGAAAGCTTGAAAACTAAAATTTTAAGGGGATGTTTCCTGAGCGACGGCCAGTTTTAATTTGTTTAGCTAGAAACATTTGCCGGTAAAACCGGTACCGGTAGCGACAAGAACTGCGGGAAACTATGCAAAAAACGCATCTTCGCACGGGCAGCCCGTGCGTTGGCCAATTATTTGTTTCGACAAATGTTCTACCATCATCGGTTTACTGGTAATCCCAATGTTCGTTTTGTGATGTACCACTACTGCGTCGGCCGAAGGTATAGTGATCTAGGTGTGTTTTGCCTGTCATTTTATGTATTGTACCCGGTCGTATTGTCGTACCGGTTTAGGGGACGGCAGTGTACCTCTCTTAGTGTACAGTGAGTGCACTGTGTTATCTGTTGATTGCCCCAGCATCCCCTTCTGCCTTCGCTGACTGATCGCAGAAGTGCTCGCGTTGTCCTAGCCGTTCTTCTCTTTCTTACTTTTTTTTTGTTAATTGATATATTTTATTATTATCGTGATTAAAGTTTTCACACAAGCTGCGTCCTGATAGCCACGATACGTTTCCTTTTCTAACAGCTTGTTGGTTCTTCCAGTAAAATTTTAACCATTTTAAGATTTTTGGCAATTTTTTGCAATTTCAAGGTTCCCCGATATGAAATGAGTAACCCTGATATGTACTGAGCACCACCACCTTGTCTTGAGCAGTGCACCGCTAGTTCACCACGACGAGACACTTTGTCAACAAGGAATTTCGTGCCCCATTATAATATAACATTGAAAACATACTAGTGCAGTAATGTGTAATAATACTAACCTTGCGATATTGTTATTTCTAGCGACGGCATCCAGCTGGCTATAGAGGACAGTACAATCAATTCCGGATAATTCAAAAACTGCTGACAAATATTCCACATGTTTCATGGTTGCACAAAACACAACTGTTTTTTCCTTGGCGGCCAAAGATTTGCGAGCCAAATGCACCAAAGCTGCTGTTTTATCATCTGCGCGACAGTGAACAAAAACCATCGACAGCTTATTACTTATCTTTTCATCGAGATCAAGTCGCACTGTAAAAATACAAAATTCGCTTATCAGTTCCTAGCTCGAAATGTAAAAAAGTCTTTTGAAGAGCAGTTCTGCTCTAAAAAAGATAAGGACAACTTTAGAAGAGATGGCACAAATCTGATACAACCAAAACTCCGTTTTTTTAAAAAAAAGGAAAAAACGAAAAAGGAAGAAATCAATCGCAAAAATAAACGTTATCTAATAAGCTAGCTTTGATCATATCACCGATTAGAAAACTGCTAACTGAGTCGAAAAAGTGAAAATGTATGGGATGAAAAGCAATTCTGCAAGTGAAACAAGCAGTCAAGTCAATCAAGTGGAAAACAAAACAAAAACCGATTACCCAGAACAGGATCCGTGAGACCAGCCTTTGAAAAATCAATTATGGACTTTGGAAGAGTGGCC